TGCTTGCTCTCTTACTGGTGGCTGGTGTCCATTGTGATTGGTGGAGTAGAAGACACAGTTGGAGATGGAATAGAACCAGGAGTGTCAGATGTAACCGGAGCAAAAGTCCATACATCCCTATCCACCCGCCCATTCTCCAAGGCAACTGAAAAACATACAGGAAGGGAACAAAGGCATAATCCTGACCCTTTGCTTCTGGTAAGGGGGCAGACAGGAGGTTTGCCAAAGACACTTTAAGCTTAGGTGAGCGGGCAGCATCCATTTGCCCTAATGGATGAGTCAACACTGCCACTCATCTGTGCAACACATTATATGCTGAATCAGTCGCAGTGTCTCAACTTAAAACAGCCCTGTCAGGTAGATGGGTACAGGTGAACAATCTATGCAGTGATCTGTAAGGTCTTAGAAGGAAGTGAAGCAAGAAGATATAATGAATAACAAGTGAAAACATTCTGCCTGATCCTCAAAAAATTAAACAGATGAAATTGGTGAGTTATTTTAAGCTTTTGTTAATAACAAAGATGAAGCACTTCGGTCTTCAGAGCTGTGCAGAATTTTCAATACACTATGCATGGCTCTGCCATTTACATATGTGGCTAACATACTGTGGTAATTGTACACAAATTGTGGTTTTATACATACACACTATAAGGCTAGCTTTTGTGGAATATGCCTGATCCTGGAATTTGTTTTCTAGGGAAGACTGTGATCAGCACATTAATATCCGGTTGTGTTGGTTTGTGCTTATTTTTATTTCAACAAAACTTTATAATTTGCAGAACCTGTCATTTAGAGAGACAGGTCAAAGCAGTACCTTTTTTGCTGTTTCTTGTGAGTGGATGTGGTTTTCTTAGAGTTCCAGACAAAAATTAAAACTGATTAAGAGAAGACAGTCTGCTCTATGCAGTGAATCTGAAGTTTTATGTTGCTTGTGACAGTTCGCCTAAATAAGTAAATACAGAAATCTTGATTTAACTAGTTCAATAAAGACATACTTCTGTTGCCTAACATTGGACCTGTCCAGACAGGGGAATCAGGAGTGGTCTGGTTTGCTGCTTAAAAGATTCTTATCTTCAGTGTGTGATCTATTTTATCTCCCACTTGAGCAATCCTTTTCTTCACACTGGAGATGTTTATTCTTATTCTCCTGTGAGAAGGGTTCACAGAGATCTTTGGATTGCTGGTTTACTCATAAGCAAGTCTACTCATGAAAACGTTTATTGTACCTGACAATAAACGGGGTGGCTCCGGATCGTTCACAATTGTTCTTGTTTCCTGGTGATTCCTTTGGTGGGGTATAAACGCAGCTGCAACAGATGAAGTATAAAACCCTTGGTTTCCTGACCCATTGTTTTATCAGACGAAAGGTCTTGGGTCTTCTCTGGTAGGCCCGGTCTAAAGCTCCCCACCCTCCAGGAAACCCACTCCGCCTCCAGAGGGCTCCCTGACACCTATTTCAGTCCCCAAACTTTTAGAATACTTTACCTGATATTGGTGTTATGCCTCTGACTCTGTTCTTTCTCTGGTAGGCCCGGTCTAACCCCCCCTGGGAAAGCTGCCTCCCTGCCACCTATTTCAGTCCCCAAACTGTTAGAATACTTCACCTGATGTTGGTATCATGCCTCCATACTCTTATCTTGTTCACAGGAGTTGTGACTTCTGGCAATGGGTGATTTCCTTTTGAGAGGGGGGGAGTATAAAGGCAACTGCAACAAAGGCAGTAAAACAGATTTGTCTTCCTCACACCACTTGTTTTGTGGGAGGAAAGGTCTTGGGTCTTTTCCTCTTTTTTGTTTTTAGAAGTTGTTGCCAAGCTGTTTTCCATGATGAGTCAATCCAAGAAACAAACAGCTTGAGGAAACGTCTTCTGGGGTCTTTTCCTCTCTCTTTTTTGGTTATGTTGATAGTGAGCCTCTGCTGCTTTCCAGATTCTTGTCTCCTGAGGACAACATGGCTCTACCTCAGAGAGGGGCAAAAAGTCTCTGCTGGACCAAATATTTATAAAGGTGATGAATTGCATCACAAAGTGGGATGACAAAGTTTGGTCAAGGTATTGTTACCCAGCAGGCCAAACATGGGAGGCCTGCCTTGTTTTCCTTACTGGTAGCAAATTGGAAACAAGGACACAAGTATACAGAAAGCACTTGTCTTTGCTTTGGAACCATCGTTTTAAATATATATATATACATTTCTAGAATTTTTCTTATAATATTTTTAACATTTTCAGACTGTGGCTAAATGAATCAGGAGATACTGGTCCCACAGATATGGGTGTCCTACTGTATACATATTACTTGGATAACTGTTGGTATAATTTCGTTCAAATCAAATTATGGTCTCCACACGTTTCTACTTTGAGAGCTGTTCTGTTCCTTTTTGGCACAATGCGAGAGGCTTGTTTTGTTGGTACAACTTAGTGCACTCCTAATTATCCTATTTTATAGCCTGTGTGGATGATTATTTCACACCAAAGTGGAGCTGTGGGCAGCATTATCCGAGGTGATAGGCATCCTTCAGTCTCGAGAGACTATGGTAACGTGCTCTGCATGGAGGACTTGGAACAGCATCTAGTGTTTTGACGCTGTATGTGAAGCTGGAGTGTCCTCACCAGGGCACAAAGCCTGGGTAAAATAATATGGAGGATAGACTGTTCCCCAAGCAGCAAATCCCCTCTCTCCATGTCACTCAAATAGTCCAATGGAATGGCAAGAGCCAATACAACTGGTTTCAGCGACGTTGCAGGAGTTGACAGAATGACACAGACTGCCTCCAGGACTCCGGCTCCGGATTTTGCTTGGAGCTAACTCCTGAATCCTTTTCCATTGGTGGATATAGCCACAAAGCAGTGGAGGTTCGAAGTCAGAGTTGTTGTTGTTGTTGTTGTTGTTGTTGTTGGTAAGCGTTTGCCGTTTCATTTCACCTCCATTTTTTTTCTTTGTGTGGACATGAAAAACAAACCAGACCAGCACTGCCACTATGAAAATTTACAGTGCATATATAATTGTTTTAAATAAGTATAGGTATGAGACATTGACTGGTAATTCCCAACTGATCCAGGCTTGTATTTGTTTAATAGCAACACAAACAATGGGCTCTGCTGGTAGCTTCTAGAGTAGCTGTCTAACCATGACATCACACTGGCTGTCATAGTATATAACAGCATTAATAAGCCATTAAACATATCCCACAGAAGCTCTGCCTTTTATCTCCTTGCCAAATTCCTTTGTAAAGAAAATAATTTCATAAGTAGTTCCTTCTGTTCTCATTGGCCGCCATGTTTAGATGAACATGGCACTAAGAGAGAAGGCAGACTAGGGAAAGAATAATTGGTGGTTTTTTCTTATCCCCCTTTTGCCCTTTGAGGATTTAGAAGAGCTGGGAGGGAAATCATAGCACGGGTGGTTCCATGCACACAGAGGTTTGTGAACTGTGGTTTTGCTACATGCTTAGTTTCATGGATTGTATCTAGGTTAATGAATGGTGAGGAGTCAATTTTAAATTTCAACTTGGGGTTCTGCAGCTGCATGTTGGGGCTCCAGGTTTTTCCTGTAAAACAAATTCCAGGACCACATGTGATCCATCAAAGCTAGCCTTGCCTAAAATTGGGAAGGGTGAATGGGTAATAATTTTCACACCATTGCCGCAGCATATTAACCACTTGGGCAAAAGGTACAAGCAGAGACATGCAGAAAGAGGGCACTTTAAATTATGGAATGCTTGGAAGCAAGGAAGGCAGAGATTTAATCCTCCGTATTTAAGAATGATAAAATTCAGCTGCCCACTATGACTTGTTTCTTCCTTGGGCAAAGCAACCTGGCTCCTTTTTTAATGTGACTGGGGGAGCTGAATAGGTCTGGAGATGATTTTAAATGTTAGAGATACTAGGTAAACATGCATATAGAACAGAAAACAGTGGTTGAATAGGGATAAACTCTCATAAGACAATAAAGTTTTTCTAATATAAGCTTTTGCTGCTCAATGTCTAATACAATATTTTCCAAGTTACCCTTTTTGGAATTTCAAATATTGAAGATAAAATGTCTCTTTCCTCCAATGTTTTTTGGATTACTTCTAGGATTTATATAGATTAAAACTACTGTACACTGGTTTGAGCCTTATCGGAATGTCTGTGGGTCCCTCCTCTCTCACTCCCCATCAGGAAAGGATGCAGATGCCCTAATTCATGGGTCCACTCCTTCCACTATGTCTTTTTTTAACATCTCACTTGAGGAGGTAATCTGGACATCCTCACTGTTTGCACTTTTATGTCCTTTTTCATGGCCTACCAAAGCGATCATTTTAATAGGATTATCCTATGTCAGTGTGCTATAGGCCCCTCATTGTGTACTATGATATATCAGCTGCTCCAAATGCTCTTGATATTACTGAGTGAAATATACATTTTATTAATATATATGAATTATACCCTTTTGCTTCTGTCACGAACAAAAAGAGTAGGATTTTTCTACCCCCCCACCCCCAGGCCAGAATGGCTACCTTTCCCTGTTTGTATATCTGAAGATTCAGACATACGTTTGTCCTTTATTGAGGCACAGGAAATTAAGCCGCCCAGAGTAGACTCTGTCTAGAGGGGCGGGGTATAAATCGAATAATAAATAAATAAATAAATAAATGCAAAGTGGCACATTCCCATTTGGTTCAATTGTGTTTGATTTCTATTTATCACGTCGAGGGGCCATTTGTTTTAAGGCCGTGAAGGGTGGGAGGTTCGATAAACACAATCATTTAGCCTCGTAGCGTTGGAAAAGTTACTTTTTTTGCCCTCCAACCTCAGACTCCCCCAGGCAGCGTGACTATGGGGTTGGGGAAATTACGGACGCTGCGATTCCCTCGCCCCCAATAACTTTTTCCGGCCAGAGACCGGTCCCGGGCGGGGTCTGGCAGCCAAATTAACTGTGGTTGCAGGAGGACGGGCAGGGAACAGAAGAAAACCAGCTCCAGACAGGAGCACTTTCTGGGGGCGAAGAGAGAGAAAGCGAAGCCACGTTTCCAGCCTCAGGGAAGGTTCGCCTCTCTCACGCGAAAGAAAGCCGCGGAAGCCCGCTCTTAAACAGCGCATGCGTGCCAGAAAACAACTCGCAACCTAGCGCGCACAGAGGCTGGAAATGACAGAGGGGCGAGAGAGTTACGATACAACAAGACTCCTTGGGGGTGTGTGTCGGTTCTGGTCTCTTTCTTGGAGGGCTTTGCCCAGCTAACTGCCAATACAGTTCGCTTTCCTCGTCCTGGAGATCCAGCAGCTGAGAGACGGTTGTCGTGGGCTTGCAATACGGACATTAAAGCTGAAAGACAGGAATGTCTGAGGCTTCTTTGCATACTACTTGGTTTCTTCTCACCCCGGAAGGAAGAGAGCCTTGTACAACGAAGCCTTGCATTGCAGCCATGGTCCTCATCAAAGACCGTAGTTCTCGGCGCGTCTACTCAACAAGTAAAACCCCTCCGATTCAGTGGGCTTTATTCCCACTGAACAGGTAAAAGACTGCGTTCTTAATGTTTATAACAGGCTTTGCAGTTCTGCAGAAAACTCACGAGTTCCTATTATTTTTCGCGAGGACCGCCAAACGTAGACTCCCACTGCTATGCACGGGCCAGTTTGCGCCTAGAAGTTGAGGAAAAGCGGAGGGCGGAAATGCTACCCGGAAGTGTCGGAACAGTGTGCGACTCTCCAGGGCGTCAGTCTGTGGTCTCAAGGTTTCGGAGCGCTCCAATGCGGTGCTCGCTTCCAAGGGAGCGGCGATGAGGGCTGTCGCGGACGGTTTGGGCGGCGGCGCTGCAAGCGGAGGCGGCACAGGTGCCGGGAGGAGGAGGAAGATGAGGAGGATGAGGCTGTGCTGGTTCCCACACCCCCGGCAGGGCCGAGGCGAGGCTAGGGCCTCTCAGCGGTGGGTGAAAAAAAAATGGGGACGGGGGGGAGGGGGTTTGCCCGGCGGAGGTGGGGCTGCGCGCCCGCCTCTCTCCGCTTCGCCACGTGCCCCCACAGGGACCCCCGTCTCTCTCACCCCCGCCGCCGCTTCCTGTCTCCCGTGCCCGATCCATGTGCCTGAGAGGGCGCGGGCTCCTTTGCCCATCCGGAGGCATTTAGGTTCCCCCCCTCCTCGACGTCACTTGCTTTTCCGATGGGCAGGGTTTTTCCTCTCCTCGCTCCTTAGCTTCGCGACAGCCCTGCGAGGTAGGTCAGGCTGAGAGAAAGGGGCTGGCCAAGATCAGCCAAGTGAGTTAAAGCAGTGGTCCCCAACCTCAGGCCTCCACATGTTCTTGGACTACAGCTCACAGAAACCTTCACTACCACCTCTGCTGGCCAGGATTTCTGGGAGTTGAAGTCCAAAAACATCTGGAGGCCCAAGGTTGGGGACCCCTGAGTTAAAGGACTCAGTGGGCCCTGAAACCGGACTCTTCCCAAGTCCAAGGCTGACACCCTGCACGGGTTCAGACTGGTTTAAAAGCCCGGAGACTTCACGGCATTGACTTATTGCAGCTCCTACAACAAGACGATCCGAGGCGCGTAGTGTCACCTTTCTGTTGTGGCAGCATAAATAAATTGTGGAAGGAGAAGGGACGGGGGAGGTAAGGTGGGATGGTGGTGGGGGATTCTCAAGAGCATGGGGCCCTTTCACCATTGAACACACATCTCCCCAGGGCGAGATTTCGCTTTCTCCACCCTTCACTTTTTGATTTCACTTTCTCCACCCTTTGGGGGAGAAAGAAACCTGTGTGTTTTGAGAAAGAATGATTTTATCCCATTAAAAATGTGGTAGGTTGCTTAGCTGTTATGAAAGGTGGTTGTGACTCAAAAAAGGTCGGAAACCACTGCCCTTAGAAGGATTTGTATACAGAAAGGTGTGGTATTTATAATTACAGTAGTAAACAGAGGTGGATCACAATCAATATGAAAGCTTATGGCAGTGACTTCCAACCTTTGGCCCATTCCGTGATTTGGACTTTAAATACTGGAAACCTGTGCCAACACTGGCAGTTGTTATGAATTCTGGGACCTGAATTCCAAAACATCTGGAGGACCAAGGGTTGAGGAGCTTTGGTGTTTGCCAGGAGCAGTCTATTATACTGTAAGGCAGGGATGGGAAAGTTTGACTTTTCAGATATTTTGGGCTACAACTCTTATAATCAGGGTTTTAAGAAATGTTTAACAATCTACTTTAAAGTATGGTATTCTCAGGACTTTCATCAAGCCTCAGTTCCCAGAGTGTTTTAAAGGAAGGCTGTAGCAGTTAAATTAGTTGTACGAGCATAGCATAAATTTGTGGTGGTAATTAGTCTTGCTAGTCTTGATTTAACTGGTAACTTGATATCTATATTATGATTCCAATTTATGCCTTGTGATGTCAATGCCAGTGATTTTGTTAGGATTGTATAATACCAGAACATTGTGAAGGTGGCCAGTGAACGCCATGCTTTTATCTTAGATTATGATTTTGATTATAGTAATAGGATTTGGGACACATACAGATTTTGCCTGATTAAACTTTAGTTGTGTCTGCATATACTGTAAATAAAACCAGGAGTGCTGAAGGATACTTATGTTGTTTTCTGTTGTCTTTTTAACTCAGAGCTTTTTTTAAAAAAACGTATTGATTGGTCTAAATTATTAAACATTGCAATCATAGTTACAAAAGCATCTATATTATTATAAAAATACTAACAGTACATTGGTTCTTGCCTGTGTCTATGGGTATCACAAGCAATATTAGGCTAAGTCCATTTTTAGTCCAATTAGGTTACACCCATTGAATGACTGGGACGTTACATAAATGTTGGTTTACAGTCTACAGATCCAATGAGTCTACTTTAGTTGGGACTAATAGTTGGACTTTGTGTGTTGTTCCTTTTAGTGTGATTCTTGAAATGGCAGTCTGGCATGCATCCTCATTCCCTTGTATTTTTTGTTTTTGTACTCTCATTTGGGCACGCACAGAGTGCATACGTAAGAGTGTATAAGAAAACAAAACTGGCTAGCAGTGATAGCTGGCAATGTATTTTACCACTTCTGTTCCATGGCATTTGGGATAATAAGCATCTCTCATTTTGAACTCTAGCTGCAAAACATGTTGGTGAAGTTGATGCTTATTTGCTTTCTTTGTGAATGTGCATGTGATTTTACTGGCTCTGCTGGTAATGAGCCAAACAAAGAGAAGCATATATATACAGTATATATATATATATTGGACGTTGTTGTTTAGTCGTTTAAGTCGTGTCCGACTCTTTGTGACCCCATGGGCCACAGCACTCCAGGCCCTCCTGTCTTCCAAGGCCTCCCGGAGTTGGGTCAAATTCATGTTGGTTGCTTCGATGACACTGTCCAACCATCTCATACTCTGTCGTTCTCTTCTCCTCTTGCCTTCACACTTTCCCAACACCAGGGTCTTTTCCAGGGAATATATTGGACTAACTCCACAAACTTCTCAGCTAACAGCAGTGGCGGGGAGATTCTGGGGGCTTTTGTGCTAAAAAGTGTGATTGTAATCAGACAGGCGTTTAGCTTGTTGTTTGGTCCACTGTGGAGACAGATTGGTTTGATCACATTATGTAATCATTGGAACAAACCAAATTGACCCCAGAGTGTTTCCACCCACACATTTCTAAACCCCTATCATGGGGTTCTACTTTTTTTGGTGTGGGTAGGATCACTCTGGTTTAGTCCATTTCGAGCTCATGTGATCCTTGGGAATGGACCAAAAGTGAACCTCTGGCTGTCAAGGCTCCTTCCGGTTTGAATCGACAGTATCATAAAGTGGCTTAAGCAAGCCACTTCAGGATATTGACAAATTGAAAACTCCCCCTGCTTTTCAGCAGAGAAGCATGGAAAATGAAATTGCAAATTGTACCTCTAACCAATCCCAAGCAATCCTATTTAGCCTGCAACAGCCCACTCCAAAAGGCCTTGTGTAAACAAGCCCTGGGTTTACTAAACTCTACGGTCGGGTTCAATTTCTCTCACTCATGCATCACTTTCAATATACTGTAGAAAAAGAGCCAGGTTTCTGCTTTAGACCTTTATGGGGCAAATAGAAGATGAAAATAATGGCTGAAAGAGTTTCACTCTAACATGGATAGCTTACATATTTTGGTGGCGGTGAGATGCCTACAAGTAACAACTTGCACTATTAAAATATTTATGGTGGTTATATTTTGCAAATCTGTACTGATATAGGTCATGCATGTTTGGGCATTACCTTATTTCCATATTTGATGTACTGTATATTATTTTATTGTTTATTAAAGGCATGTTTTAACTGCTTCTACACACAGGTAACCAGTCTTGGATTTTCCATGCAGTTGCATTCTTGGGACGACTTCAACAAAAATTATTTCAAAATGATAACAAATATTATCATTTTGAGTATACTTATATGCATCTCATTATCCTTTTGGATTGTGTCCATGACTGCAAGCACATATTATGGTAATATTTTACATTGTTAGTTTCTCATGAAATGATAATTCGGATACAGTGGTTTTACCAAAAGTAATTAAATATAATTGTTATTAATATTTATTTTCCCTTATCCTAAAAAACCAACAACAGCAAACATCTAGAAATCTCTTATGTCCTTTCTACTCCATAGTATTAATTAGGCTCTTGCAGACCTTTCCTTTCATTTAATATATTCTTTAAAGCTAATTGGATTATAGCCCTTCTGTCTGCAGATTTAGTGTAACCATAAATTATTACTAGGTGCTGAAATACAAGATTACTGAATGTAGTGATCTAGACAAAACTGCATGTTTTGTACAGTTAAATGGGATTACTGAAATCTGAAGCAGTCCAGAATGGATCCACCCAAGGGCCAGTGAGTCTGAAGGACCTGGGGCATACTTGTGATACCATAAGTGTGCAGCAAAAGTGGAGATTTTAGAGCAGGTTTATCTGGAACACTGGTGAAATAGATTATCTACTCTGCTTATTTCAACATTTCAGGTAATGTAGCAAGAGTAGTGGTGACACAGGTGGTGGAGACCCAACCCATATCAGGCAGGCTTCAAACTGCTGTTAAATGAGGGAATCTGAGTTTGCCCAAATCTGATGGCCTTGTGGAACTGTTTGGAAAGGTATATGGTCTTTTAAAAAAGGGTCTCTGCTAACCTTTGGAGAGTCATCCAGGTAATAAGGGGGATAACAAAAAACTACCACTGTTAGAATGCTCATAGGAGTATTCATAGGGCCCAGTTGCAGATTTTTGTGGCCTCTAGGAATGTAGATGTCATGTACTAAAAACATGTTGGACAGTAGAATAATCTTTGGCCTGAATGGGGAAGATCAGGCCCCCTCAGTTTCCCTCAGCACCAACATGCAAAGCAGAAATGAGAGAGTGAAAATTTGCATGGCAGAATGGGCGTTCACCTGTTTTCTGGCCCATGGCCTTTCTTTTATGTTCTGTTCCCTTGGCCGCTCTTACCTATATATACCTTTGGCTGAGGAAGAATGTGATTAGGAAATAGTGCTAGGAAAGAAAAATGAAAGACAGGACAAGGGATTAACCTCCCACTCAGTTTACAGTTTCCCCTGCCTTTTAAGTATTGGATTAGAGTTAGAGGGATGCTCAATGAGTCATGGAACTCTTCAGCTGAACTATGTTACTTTTCTTTACAGAATTCTGTTTATGTAAGTCCAGTGCATATGAGTGTGTGTGTGAGAGAGAAAGAGAGAATCACATATACTGTACAGTACTGCCCTGAGTTTCTGGGCAACTTAAAAATATTACAAAGAAGTGGCAAACTAGGCATTGAAAATCTTGTAGTCAAACATGTAGTTCCACCCAAGGCTTAGAAAGGCCTTCATTCAAAGTAGATGAATGAATTTTAGCCTCACATTCCATGGCACACTCATGGTTATCATCAGACTCTTTGATTTCACACAGAGATTCTCCAAACAGAAGATCACTGTATTGATTTGCTGGGGGAGTGAGTGAGGCTCCTCATACTGAATATCATCTAGTGACCTTGAGAAGCAAAGCAGACATGGGAGAACACAGGATAATTGGTGTCAATTGGAGGTTTAACAGCAGTCTTTGAAGCCTTTTATAATGAAGGCCCTTACTTAATATGTTAATTTTTCCCCAAAACCAGATATCAAAAGTGGCAAGAGATAGTTTGAATTATAGTCACTCTATTTGTGTGTAAATAAACAAGGAAGATAATTTCAGAGTACCTCCATTTTAAGAGGAGCAAATGCAACATGAACTGTGACTCTCAAGTAGTTGAACTCTGTGTTCTGGTGTTCTAACTCCTGTCCTCTGAAGATGCTGGCCACAGAGACTGGCGAAACGTTAGGAAGAACAACCTCCAGAACATGGCCAAACAGCCTGAAAAACTTACAACCACCATCAGATCCCGGCCGTGAAAACCTTTGAGAATACATTTTTTAAATGGTTTAAGAAATCTTTTGTGGAATGTATACTGGGAATATTGCTTTTCTGACACTTTTACACACATTAAATACTGTTGTTAACAACTCCTTTAGGTACTCTGCGACCTATTTCTCCGTGGCGATGGCTTTTTTCAATCTTAGTTCCGCTAATAATTGCTTCGCGAGGATTTAAGAAAAAGAGTCTTGATCATGGTGGAGCAATAGGAGGTATGTTCTGTGCCTTAATGTTGATTGCGTATTTCTGGAGATGTATTGCTTGCACATACCTACATACATACAAATACAAATACATACCTGCACATGTACATGTAAGTTGCTTTGCAAATCATTCCAAAGTTATTTGTCATTGTAGAGATGATTCACTCATAAACAATACTGATATTTTCCAGTTTGAAGTTGTTGGAACCTTACTAGTATTAAAGTTATATGTCAAGTTCAAAATACAGGGTTAGCAAAATTAGTGCGATCTGTGAGCTGATTGTGGTGCATAATACTGTAGTTCGGAAGATCTACATGCGAACTAGAGATGGTGCTCATTTTATGTCCAACAAGTATCTTAGATAAAGAAACATTTGATGATGATGGACTATTGATGGCAGTTTGTACAAATTCAGCATTTGTAAAAGGAGAAAACCCCAAATTTTTAGTGCTGAAAAGAAAAAAGCACTTGTATGTGGGAGGTACGTAAGGATATGTTGTGAAAATCCAAACCAAAATGCAATATCAAACAAATGCGATCCTTGGTTAAAGGAAACCAAGCATTAGAGCAGTTGCTTCTTTATTGAGGCTAACACCTAAATCTAGCAAAACATTGACAATATATAATAACTGCATGCCATCAAGTCCTTTCCAAGATCCTTTCCAGGGTTTCTAGGTAGAGAATACACGGAAGTGGCTTACCAGTCTTCTGGGGGTGTCCTGGAACTGCGCAGCTTATCCATGATTACACAGGTTTGCACAGTGGGGAATTGAGCTCCCAACGTCTGGCTCCACAGCCAGATACCTAAACCACTGAACTATTCAGCCAGCTAGCATAACACTAGCCAAGTGAAACTCCAGTGTAGTTGCACTGGATTACACTGTTACAGAGTGCACCGGCATCTGCACAACAAAAATAGTATTGGATATGACTCTTATGCTAACTCTGAAGTGCCACAACAGACCTTGCACTAGTGTAGTGATATTATGGGGTACAAGCCTAGTAGCAGACTCAAGGGTTGCTTTCTAATGGAAGTAGCTCCTGGTTAGGAAAAATGAAAAACAAGTATGCTCAAGGCAATCCAAAGGATTTAAGATGCAGAACAGATATTTTAACTTTCTGTTATAAAACAACCTAGTGAAACTTGGTTGTGTTCAGTAGCCAATGAATGCTGAATACATTCAGGAAGAAAAACAATGAGGAGAAGAGAAAATAGAATGGAATATCCTGAAAAGAGGTGTGGCAATGTTTTTGTTTTAGGGCCCCTTATGTGTAAGACTCTTTTGCCTTATTTTAAAACACATTTTCTTGATTTATCAGTTGTGCAAAGCAAGCAAAGCAAAGTGTGCTGCTTATATACCGCCCCATAGTGCTTCAGGCACTCTCTGGGCGGTTTACAAGTTAATTATACAGGCTACACTTTGCCCCCCCCCCCCAGCAAGCTGGGTACTCATTTTACTGACCTCGGAAGGATAGAAGGCTGAGTCAACCTTGAGCCGGCTACCTGGGATTGAACCCCAGGTCGTGAGCACAGTCTTGGCTGCAGTACAGCAGTTTAACCTCTGCGCCACGAGGCTCTTCAATATTGCAGATCAATATTGGCTTGTCTTCTCATTGCAGTCTATGTAATGAAAAAGAAGACTTATCTGAGGTTTTTTGGCTTGCTTGATTGCTTTGCATGTGCATACCCTGCTGTGGACAAGGCAGTGATACTGTTGTATTGTCATCTTAGTCTGACCTGAGTCTGAAGTAATTTTTCAGAGCCAGGAACTACCAAGTAATTTGGTTGCAGCCTAATAGGTTCTGCGCATAGTAACTTGTCATTTTCCTCCATCCCTTAGGCTTAATCGTTGGATTTATCCTCACAGTTGCAAATTACAGCTTTTTTGCTGCCTTGCTCATGTTTTTCATTACTTCCTCCAAACTCACCAAGTGGAGAGGAGACGTAAAGAAGCAAATAGATGCAGAATACAAAGAAGGTGAGTTTTGAATATTATTAAGACGATGGACAAGTAACATTACATTTTGACTGAACAAAGGATGTACATACAATGCACAGAGCATACTACAGTTGGCCCCAAATATCTGCCTGCTCTCAAGAGTGGGTGGAAACTGTACTGTCCCTTCCTCGTCCATAGAGCCCTTACCAGCTGAATCCTTCCCATGATTCATATATGCTGCTGGGTGGGGTGGACTGCACCATAAGAGTAGGGGCTGAGTGGTGGAGGTGAAATTTGTGGAAAACCTGGTGGATCTCTATTCAGAGAAGGAAGCTTCTCTGAATAGAGATCCACAAGGAACATTTGGAGGGGAAGCAGTAGGTGGTGTTGAGTACAGAGGGTGGGAAAGAGAGCATCCACCTGTGTTTAGGCAGGTCTGTATCCAACCCTGTATAAATGTTTTTTGGCATCTTTTTAATGGTGTATCAATTTTGTACTGGCATTGAATATATTAGTGATGGTCATTGCTTCTAGTTAATAAGGAAAGCCCTGATGACTCGTGATAAAATATTTTTCACTCCTAGCTTTGATTGCCTTAGTGCAGGATTTCATGGGTGTTACATATGTTCCTGACGGCTCCTAAAAAGTTGTAACTTCCCCCTTTGTACCTAGGTGGGCAGAGAAATTGGGTGCAAGTGTTCTGTAATGGCGGTGTACCAGCAGAACTAGCTCTCCTGTACATGATTGAAAATGGACCAGGTGAAATTCCAGTTGACTTCTCTAAGCAGTATACAGCATCCTGGATGTGCCTGTCACTATTAGGTGCTTTGGCCTGCTGTGCTGGGGACACTTGGGCGTCAGAAATTGGCACTGCTATGAATAAGGAACCCTGGTTGATAACAACCTGGAAGAAGGTTCCAAGAGGTAGGCATGCATTTCTCCTTTTGTTTCAAAAATCCTGTTGGCTTAGTGAATGTGCAGTCGGCAACCTACTAAATTCCTTTTGGTAGGCTGGAAGACTGAAGGTATATGTTGTGTGCAGCTGCACACAAGTTTAGTCTAAACATAATGTTTGCTCAGTTAACCACCCACTGTGTCCCAGGCAAATGCAGCAAAACTTGCTCCTCTGGGTTGGCCGTCTTCATATTTCCTTGGACTCCCACCTTCCTAGTTAATTATTATTGTAGTTTCATCCATAATTTATTGTGCTTTTAGCATTGTTTTAACATTGTGAACTGCCTTGGGTCCCGTCACCAAAGTTTTAACATTGTGAACTGCCTTGAGTCCCGTCACCAAGAGAAAGGCAGCCTGTAAATCATCCATCCATCCATCCATCCATCCATCCTTTTCTTGCCTGTGATTCACTATAGGGTTATCTCAGATGGGGTTAAGGACTTATTACTGAATTGTTAGTACTGTACTGGCTTCCTAGATAATTAGGTTTGTATCAAGGCACATGCTTCTTCTTTAACTTTAACTCTGTTTCATTTTAAAGACACACTTTATCCTAGTTTTTTTTTCCTTTTTCTCACACTCTACACTCATACTAACTTACAAAGCTCTAACTTTTCAGTGACGTTAACCTCCTTTCCTTCCTGCACTTTTGGAAACTTAGCTCCCCACTGTCAGCTTTCAAATGTCTGCACTTCCAAGCTTCCTTCCAAGGACTGATTGACTGGGCTTGAGAGGCAATGGAAGGGCAGATACAGAAGCTGACCATCACACCCAGTATCATCAGCTTCCCCCGATTCAGTGATGTACCAGTATAATTTGGTGGAATGTCTAAAACTGTGGGGAGGGGTTATGGCTGCTTCTGAGTATGTCAGAAGTAGGTAGTGTTTTATGTATATGTGCTCATTGATTTTCTTTAAAAAGTTCTTGAAAAAGATGTTCAAAATGTATCAGCTTTTTAAAAATGTGCATATATTTAAAATTTATTCATAGGAGACCACCATATTGGAAAGATTCACATGCTAAAAAAAAATTATATTCCTTCAAGTGAAGCTTATACTTGAATAATTCTATTTTTTGAGTCACAGCTCTAGGGAAGAGTACTGACAGATAAATTAATGCTGGTATTACTGTATCTTTCCTCATCTATCAAAATGTGTTTTAAATTATAATTCTACACTTACATGGAAGGATGACTAAGTGGTTTAGCCAGAGCCAGAAGTTGGGAGTTCAGTTCCCCACTGTTCCTCCTGTGAGTAGAGCCAGCCTGTTTGGCCTTGGACAAGTTGCAGAGTTCCAAGATGCCTCAGAAGAATTCTGGAGGAGAGCTTTGCAAATACTGTAGACTGACAGAAAGAAAAAAATGGGTTCTAGATAAAATCAAGCCTGAAATTTCTCTGGAGGCAGAAATAACAAAACTGAGGCAGTCCTACTTTGGGCACATCATGAGAAGGCAAGATTTGCTGGAAAAGACAATAACGCTGAGAATCGTTGAGAGTGTGCAGGTAAAACGAAAGACCAAATAAGAGATGGGTTTATTCCAACAAGGAACTACATACAGCCTTGAGTTTTTAAAACTGGACTGTTGATGGCAGGTCATTTTGGAGATCAAACAACAATAGCGTGCCATCAAGTCAGTTCTGACTTATGTTGACTTTTTATTGGTTATCTAGATAGAAAGTACTCAGACGTGGTTTACCATTCCACTTTCTGGGGGTGTCATGGGACTGTGTGGCTTTCCTAAGGCCACATAGGCTGGATCTCCTGGGATGCACAGTGGGGAATTGAACTCCCAACCTCTAGCTCTGCAGCAAGGGTCAGAGGCAACTTGAGCTATGTGACAACAGTATTATCACTTTACAATATTAGACTGATACAAGCCTAACATTTTTGCTGGCGTAATTGTAATAAAAATGCTGGAGGAGTTGTTTGCAATCTTCTTCTGCCCTCTCTTATGCCAATTTCCTGTTCTCTTCCTTTTCCAGTGGCAACAGAAACTTAGATTCAAAGGTAACTTAAAAGCAGATCAAAGAACACAGATATTCTGCTTCTCTGCTTTTAATACTGATGTGCTATGAGTAAAGATTAAAAACTATAAACTAGTCTTTTAAAATAAAGTTTGCACAAGTTGTCTTTTCTGGGATTTCTGCTCCATTTCTGGGCACAATTCAAAAGACTGGCAATTATCGGACAGCCAGTGTGGATACAGTGACAGACGGAGACCCGAGTTCAAATATTATTTATTATTACTATTATTATTTCATTTTATACTGCCCATCTGTCAGAGGCCACTCTGGGTATCTTACAACATAAAAATACCATCAAGTATAATTTAACATAACAAAAATTTAAATAATGAAATACAAATAAGCAATAAACTCAAAGCATAAAGATACATCAAGTAAAACATTTTAAAACATTCAAAGTATTAAAACATTGGACATGGCAGACTTTGGTCAGATAGGCTAATTAGATTCAGCCGAGCTAGCAGTTATGATGTTTTTGAATGCCTGCCTAAATAGTCAGGGTTTTAGTGACTTTTAAAATATCACCAGCGAAGGGGCCAAGCAAATTGCAGGGAGAGTTCTTTCCACAGCTGAAGAGCAACTGCCAGGAAGACCTAGTTTCTTGTCTTCTCCCTCTAGGCCTCTCTCGGGGTTAGCATCCTCAGCCAGCCTGCTTAGGATCTTCTTGCAGGGTGGGCAGATCTTGTTGGAAGCAGGTGTTCTGCCAGATAGTGAGGTCCCAAACCATTTAGAGTTTTATAGGTTAAAACCATCACCTTGAAGCTGGCACGGAAATGGACAGGAAACCAGTGTAAGGCAGCCAGAATTGGGAGGGATATATTGATGTCTATTCACTCAGTAGTCTGGCCGCTGTGTTCCGGATGTGTTGAAGTTTCCATGACAGTCTCATAGGTAGCCTCACGTAGAGAGCATTGCAGTAGTCAAATCTTGAAATTACCGGTGTGTAGACCAATGTGGTGAGGGACCCAGTGTCAAAGAAGGGCAGTCCACTTCAGATAGAAATAGGCGGAGCAGACGACAGACAGTCTGCGACTCCATTGATAGTGCTGGGTCCAGAAATATGCCCATGGTGCTAACCTTATCCTTATCTGCTATGCCATGGAAGCTCTTGGGAACTGGGCGTGGCAGTAGTAAACCACTCCTTGAATATCTCACATAACTCAAAAGCCCAACTAGGGTCAGAAGTGACTGGATAGTCCAGGTTATCTGAAAGACTGTTATTCCATACACGTCTGCTGGACTTGGAGGTCTGTGCAAGAGGCTCATCCCTCAAAGGTATATGGTGATGACACGAGAAGGCATTTTCTTGATAGCTGCTTCCAGGCTGTGGACCATTGCCTACAGTGGCTAGGGTGGCCCCTGATGCCCACAAATACACAAAGAACGTTTTATTTTGCCTGACCTCCCAGAACTGGCTGGTTGTTGAGGGTAGGGCTTTCAAAGGGTGTATGTTGTACATTTTAGCTATCATTTTATTTGATGTACACCCAGAACTGGCTGGTTGTTGAGGGTAGGGTTTTCAAAGGGTGTATGTTGCACATTTTAGTTATTATTTAGTAATTATTTGTAGTTATTATTATTATTTGGAATTTGTTTGTTTTTAACATATCTCTAGCCTTTAAAACTGTTTTTAATTCAGTTGTGTTTTAATGATGGAATTTGTTTGTTTTTAACATATCTCCAGCCGGTACCCTACTGCTTAAATGTAGAGCAATTGTGAAAGTGTCCCCTGTACTCTGGCAGGTTCTTTGTTGTTCAATCAGTATAAGAATGTGCATGCAAGAAGGGGCCTGTTGGCGCAGGGGATGCTTACGCAATTGCCCTTCCGCTCACATTTAAGCAACAGGACATTGCCTCTGTTTCCATCTGTACTGCTTTTTAAACTCACTATATATATTGCCTTCATTCCCAGTTCTGGGAGAAAGGCTGAAAATAAGTAAAAGAAGATGAAATCCTTATAGGCTGGTAAATGCATAGCTGATTTTTCTTCTGCTTCACTGAATGCACATTCTAAAATGTTGAGAATGTGAATCCTAATAGATTTTTAAATTTTGTTTTAGGTACCAATGGTGGTGTCACTTTAATAGGCCTAATTGCAAGTCTCCTTGGTGGTTCATTAGTAGGTTTGGCTTACTTCATCTCCCAGATGATTTTTGTGAATGATCTGGACATCTCTGCCCCACAGTGGCCCATTATTGTGTTTGGTGGATTGGCTGGTTTACTAGGATCTATAGTTGATTCTTATTTAGGAGCAACCATGCAGTACAGTGGTAAGTTGTTTTTGTGTTTTGGTTATTACAAAAGTAGTATAGTCTAACTATTGGAAGAAGATAATTTTAGATGATTTTAGAATAGGCGTATTTAAGACTTGTAATTCATACAGGTTGAAAGGATTTTAAAAGTTCTAATTTAATTCCAGTTTCCTTTGGGAAACCAGGTTTGTGTTGGTTTGTGTTCTTGCATCCTTGAGTTTGAAACTGAATTTAATAATTAGCAGTAAGTACAGCTGGAGAAATTCATGACCAGAGCCAGTAACATAGTGGAAATACTGTCTTTCAGTCCTGTTTACATGATTCAGGTAACAGAAATTGTGCGCTCTAAATTGTTTGGCCTAACTAAGTGAAATGAACATGTAAACAACCAGATGGCACAACTGCTTATTTGATCTATTTTTAGTGGTCTTTCAAGATCATAATCTTCAGAAGATGGTACAGATATACTGTATTTTTCCGTGTATAAGACTATACTTTTGTCTACAATCTTTAGACTAAAAATTTAGGGTCGTCTTATACACGGAAGTAAGCTGAGGAGGAAAAACCAAGTGGATGGGAAAGCAGGGATCAAAGTGATCCTGCAGGGCTTTGATCCCTGCTTTCCTATCCACTTGCTAAGCCTTGGCAAAAGGAAAGCAAGGATCAAAGTTCTGCAGGATCGCTTTGATCCCTGCTTTCTCCTCTGCTTGCTAAGTCTCATGGGGCTTAGCAAAAGGAGGGGGAAGGATCAAAGCAATCCCGTGGGTGTATAAGGGGGAAAGGGATCTAAATGATTGTGCAGTTGTGGAATTGCTTTGATCCCTTTCCCCCTACTTTTTCTAAGCCACGTGAGGCTTAGCACAAAGGGAGAAAGCAGGTATCAAAGCCATCCTGCAGCACTTTGATCCTTTTTACCCTACATTTGCTAAGCCCCACTTAGATTTCTTAATTTTGGGTTAGAAAAGTGGGGGGTGGGGTGTCTTATACATGGGGTGTCTTATACACAGAAAAATACAGTAATCATATTTCAAATACAATCAATTTAAAATAAAAACATATTTAAACATACAGAAAATCTGTCAGCAGATGATGATATTAAGACTAGATGCCAATCGAGGATATAACTGATAGAAACAATTCTGCCAGCAGCTGAGCTGTTGGAGCAATTTCTGTTTCCTGAAATAGTGATTAAAAGTAATAATGACTGCTATATCTTTCAGTCAGTGTATATAAATGATGCATCGTGCTCTCCAAAATGGAAAGGGGAGCAATTTCAACTCTCCCCTCCACCAGCACTCTCAACACACCTCTAAACATTTGCTTTGGTTTGGTGGTGAAGGTTGGGTGGGAAGAAGAGGGGGAGAAAGGGCGGTTGTCTTCCACCAGCCTCATGCTGGATGTTGGTCCTCCACATTTATAGGAAAGCTGGGTAGTTATTTAGAATTAGTTATTTAAACCCACATAGAAAGCAGCTATAGTTGGGGCCAGTCACACCTCTCTTGGGAGAGCAGCTGGAACAAGACTAATATGATCTGCCCTATAACCTCCGCAATGATTTGTGATTGATCACACGTGCACCTGCTTAAGTTTCCAAGTCACATTCAGAGGCATGTATACACAGAGTGTATGTCAGTGGTCCAAGGATTGAGGCTACAGCCCCCGTTCATAGAGTCAAAATCAGCTAGTACACTCACGTCTTAAGGGGAGCATTTTACCCCTGCCCCTTCCATCCCTGGTTTTGTCACCCTTGTACATGTGGAGGGTGAGGAATTTGAATGGTAAATATTATGTTAAATGAGCTTTACTCTCAGGCAAGTGTCCAACACATGCGCACTTGTATAAAACAATAATTACTGGTTGTTGGTAAAATCAACAAAATTCAATAGGATAGTAAAAAATGATTCTACATTTTGAATGTTTGAAATGTTGATCGCTGTAAGTAAAAGGAAAGAGTGCCTTTTCACTACTGCACATTTGTGAACATATTAATTTTATGGAATGCATCTTAATTATTGGAGCACAATGCCCTTCCCAGGTAACTGATATCTGTATTTTATTTATCTCTTTTGTCAGGTTTTGACACTCGTACTGGAAAGATTGTCAAGCATCACACAAAAGATACAAAGCACATTGCAGGAAAACCTATCCTGGATAATAATGCAGTGAACCTCTTTTCTTCTGTGGTCATTGCTTTGTTGTTGCCTGGAGCCGCCTGGGGATTTTGGCCAAGGGGCTGAAGTTAAAGTATTGACTCCTGTACATTTTATGCAAAACAAGCTGTGATTTAAAGGAATCTTCACCCAGCACTTTAATTTAAACACCTGGCTGGAATATATTTTCCTGTAAATTCTTCTGAAGGTGCCAGGAGTCACTTAGGTTTCCTATGGCAGCTACAGGTATTTTTTGGCAAAATGGACTGTGGAAGGCTGTACTGGCTTGGCACCACTTCATCTGTAATGGAATACAATTTTCACGTGAATTATTTGCCCTAATACTTCTACCAGACTGAATACTTTATCTCGACTGATTCCCCACAATCTAGCAATTAGAAGAGCAAGAAATTGAGAAATAAAAACCTTAACATGTGACACTGTACTACTGTGTTCACCAAGCAAAACAAAGGATCTTTGCCATTTTACATCTCTTTTGTTATTCTAATGCTGTATCTCTTTTGGAGAATAGGGGAAGCACTCCACCATTGATAAGGTTTTGAGAAAGTGACACCTTTTTTTTAGTTTCAAGGGAGTGAATGACCTGAAAAAAAAATCAGTGTTTCTGGTTCTTTTCAGTAGTATATCAATAAGAAGCTTGGCCCTTGTAGGAATATATGCTATTTTTGTTAGCACTGCTGAGAGAAATAATAATACAAAATTAGTGGTGTCAAAAGTTTAATATATAATTTATTGAATTTAAAATCATATGTTTAGAACATAAGAATACTTGTTTTTTTGCTTTTGTTTTGGCCAATGTCTGTAGTTAATAGTTATGGTTTTATTCTGGCATCTTGAACAAATGGTATTTTCTGCATTCATCACAAGCAGTTCTGTTTTTATCCTTGGTGGTATTTGTTTTTTTAAGTCTGAAGATGGTGATAATCTGAAGAGTTTCTTAAATTGTCCAGAAGTACTGTTCTTGTTTGAACATTTAATGTAGCCAATCTAGACCTGGATTCTTCTGCTTGTGGAAAGTTTATCTTGACATAAAAACCAGGATAAAGGGCAGTAAAAGTTGTTACTTCTGTATACCCAAATATAGTTTTTCTCATTATATGACTAATTTTTTTGTGCTGATAAAAAAAGTAGTTGTACAATTGTATATATATAACTTATTCTGCTGAAGTTTTTTAGCACCCAGAAATGCTAACATCTTGAATTTGGCATTAAACATTACGAAAGTGTCAGAGGCAGAGCATACAAAGAAAATATGTCCTTCAGTTGACTATAAAATGGTATCCATGCACAAATGCTTTTCCACCCTCAAATGATGGTTACAAATCTATGTTGGACTTAATTCTGAGTCATGCACTGAAGTGATGAGCCACATTGCAAGAAAATGTTAAAGGTCATTATGGGAAACTAAACACCTGGATGCTCTGAAATGTACTTTTCAGATAATAAATACCTGGTTTCTGTGCAATATTTAATATAGAGAATTTTCTGTAGTGTGGATAGCATTACATTCAGCACAAGGGAGTGAATGGAATATCCCAAATCAAGATTTAAATGAGATGACTGATAGCAAGTCTAGAAAGTTGACAGGCGGATAGGAAAAAAGGAAATGAAAAGTAATAATTTAGAGCAACTCTGATAGACAGTTGTTTTGCTACAGAACCTCCAGCGTCACACAAACTGCCAAAACTGGCTGGAAGTCCACTTATAGTTTTTTAAATGGGCATTTTGATGTTGGTGAAGGGGTACCCTGCAACCTATCTGAAAGATCAATTGCTGCTTCTGGAGATTTCCAGGAATGTCTGTTTGCATTGCTGACCCTGTCCTGAGACGAGACGAGAAGGTGTTGATGGAATTGGAAGATGGTTGGCAGGCAGTCATTGCCTCTGGTAATCCATGCATTCTAGCAATCACAGAGAATAGCATGCTGTCAAGAACAAATTGCAAAGAAAAGTGGAGGAGGATTAACAGACAAGATGTACGAAGGGAATTTTCACAGCATCTAAAAGAAACATAGATTAAAGTATTTTCATTGCCTTTCTGCCCTTGCTTTGAGATAAATGGTATCAGAAACTACTGATATTGAGCGTGTAAAGAGATTCATTTATGATCCAGAGGCAGAAATTCTGTTGCTTAGTGTAATATGTTGCAACTTGAGTAAGCCCATTCGAATAAATTGAATTTACAGAACAGTTGACTCACCAAATCTCCACTAACTGGGCCTACGCTAGTTGCAACTTATTACAGTAAGCAACAGGATTGTAGCCAGAGGGGCCTTGTATATTTTACAATCTTGCTCAAATAAATCTCTCTTCAAAATGCCATCTAAATTTTAATGGCAGAGCTATTAAAAATTATTTAAAATATAAATTAAAAGAAAGTCTCATAATTTGCTTGAAGACATTCAGCCATTTGTGGCAGCATCAGTTGTGTCTCTCTTAGACCACTGATTTACAGCATATTAAAATAGTGTATGAAGAAAAAAGCTTAATTGTCTTTGTTAGAAAATCAATGAAATTTAGCAAATGACAGCAGATAATCCAAATCTGTTTGGATAAATGTTTTTTTAAAATTACCATATTTTTTGCTCCATAAGACGCACCTCTCCATAAGATGCACCAGTTTTTTAGGAGAAGAGGAAAATAATAATCTGTTTTCTTCTCCTAAAAATTGGTGAGCCTTATGGAGAGGTCCATCTCATGGAACACACCCTAGGACCCTTGCAAGGCTCCCCCCACTCCCCATGGAGCCAGAGGGGGTGAAATCACCAGCTTCCAGGACCTTTTCTGAGCCTTTCAAGCCTTAGAAAAGGTCCTAGAAGCTGGCAATTTTGCCCCCGCTGGCCCCATGGAGGGTGGTGGGAGCCTCGCAAGGTTCAGAGTGAGCCTTCCAGGACCCTTGCGACACTGCCCTCCACCCCCCCACAGGGCCAGCACGGGTGAAATTGTCACCTTCTGGGACTCTTTGGAGGCTTGGGAAGCTTCAGAAGAGTCCCTGAAGGTGGCAATTTTGCCATGTCTGACCTCCGGGGGGGGGCAGAGTGAGTCTCTAAAGGGGCCTGGAACACACCCA